CCCTGCACCTTTATAACAATTAAGGGAGAATTCGACCCTTCTCGTATAGCTGCAGGCACCAGATTAAATGTTCATTGGTGTTTAAAACGATATAACCAATCCAAATGACACTTGTTTATATAATATAGTAGTTCTTGTATAGATTTTTTTCATTTTCAACAAAAATGTAAGCATTTTACAAGGATTAGTCCACATATTACAGTTTTTATTTTTTATCTTTTTTTTTCTTTTTCTTTTATAGACCGCGCGTCTCGTTTCTTCCCCTCTCTCCCCCGTCTTCTGTTCCATTGCATGATTTGTACGTTTAAGAAACACCTTTCGATGAATAGCACGCAGCACCACACTATACGCATTACGATCGTCAGTGAGTTTAGCCAAATATCCTTCGAAATAGTGTATGATCTTCCTCCTTATTCACATCCTGCTTTTCTCTCTCATTGTCATAATAGTTGCGGTTACATATTATTTTACGATGATGCCGACGCGACGCTAATGTTATCTCATTACCGGATTAATCATTTCAACGAAAGAACAACGCGGCCGATGATGTCGACGACGAGTGTTGTTGTTCGGTCACGGGAAATCAGACGAAGCCTATCATGGATCCGGGAAAGCAAAGATAAGTGGTAGAATGTGATAATTAGTCGCAGCGTGCTCCTTTTACGTCGATTACTCTTGTTAGTAACGGTAATACGTTTCCGCGATACCCAGCGCTACTGACGCGAACCTCCTCTGCCACTACGGCCGCGCTCCTACAACGAAACAAGAAAATTCCATTAGACTCACCGACACCAATCATCGTTGATAATTTTGCTCAACGATCATCTTGTTATCATAATAATAGTATCTATCGGATAAAACTTGGACATGTACCTTTCGCTGATGCAGGTGAGGCTGATGACCATGCTGATGGTGATCTCTGGACATGTCCGAGGCGTGCCCTCTGTTTCTGTGATTGGAGGAAGAATGATGATGCTGTACGGGGTTGCTCGGGACCTTGCGCTGATCCTCCTCGGCCTGACGGCGCTCGTAATGCCCGAAATCGTCGAAGATGCTTGTAGAGTGACGATAGGTATGCAGGATACGTAGCACCGTGACGCCCTTCGCGTGAGGGACTTCCTGCGCGTCCCGCGAATTGGTCACCGGTTTGTTCTCATTGTTCTCGAGCTTAATGTGTCGCAGTTGCACATTAGGAACATCCTTCACGTATATCCAACGGACGCGAAACTGACCCTTCCACTTGTCTTGTGACCAGACACTACTGTTGCACTGGTAGTCGACGGGAGAGACCATCTGTGCCATGCCGCAAAAATGACCGGACCCATTGACAGAAAAGAACAGATAAAGGGGAGCGCCCTCGCGACTCGCCTCTCGGTAAGCCTGATCCAGCCGTTTGTTGCCGTGTTCCGTGCTGCACCAGATTTCATACTTGATGGATCGATGTATGTCATCCTCCGAATAAGATTTGATCACGAAGAACCTGGCACCAGGCGCGGTCTGATCGAAATCTATGGGATTGTAATCATTCTTCACTTTCAGTTCGTCGAGAACTGGATGCGACGGGTTGCTCTGTGAAAGTTGCTGTTGTTGCTGTTGATGCTGCTGTGATTGCTGATGCTGTTGTTGTTGTTGTTGTTGTTGTTGATGCTGGTGATGATGGTGATGATGATGGTGATGCTGCTGTTGATGTTGATGCTGCTGCTGCTGCTGCTGCTGCTGCTGCTGCGACTGTGGCGGCATGTGGATTTGCGTTTGTGGGAGCGGTGGTGTCGCTGTCGCCGCCATGGATGGTTGCCTATTCCAGCAAGGCTGAGGCGGCTGCTGCTGTTGCTGTTGCGGTCGCTGTTGCCTCTGAACAGGCGGCGGAGGTGGCGGAATCGGTGGCTGCACTTGCGGTGGTGGCGGCGCCGTAGGCGGCGGCGGCGGCGCGGAAGACTTGCCCTCGCCCCACGTCCCGATGTCCATGTTATGTTTGCCCGGCACAATCGGCGGTGGTGGCATGCCCGCTTTCTTCTTCATCCCCTGCGTGGACGAGAGCGGCGGCACCGGCTTTGCCGGCTGGCTCGCCACACTCGCCCACGTGATTTTTCTAGGTTCCTTCGGCTCAGGCTTAATTTGCTGTGCCGTAGTTTGTTGTTGCAGATGCTGTTGATCCTGTCGTGGTAATTCACCACCACCGCCGCTACCGCCACCGCCGCCGCCGCCGCCGCCGCCGCCGCCGCCGATCGACAGACCTTGCACGCTTTGCTCGATGCTCTTGATCTCGCCGGTGCCGCTCGCCGCCGGATTGGCATAGCTCTCGTTGCCGCGCGGCGGTTGATAGTAATCCTCGTACTTGGTCCTCCTCGGTGTGCCCCATGCGCTAAAGTCGCCGTTGCCGTGAAAGTAGTTGAACGGCGGCTGACCGAACGCGCTGAAACCGCCGCCGGCCGCTGACGCCGAGAACATGCCGTCCATCGCGCCGTAAGCATCGTGGCTTATTTGGCCGCCGTAACCCGAGAGAAAGGCGACCGGGTCGGTGCCGTTCGACCACGTGCCATCTCCGGCGCCGAAGGTCTGATAAGGGAACGATGTACCGGGGTAGTACGGGCTGTACGGATCGCCGGTACCGATCGGATAACTCGAGTGATGCTGAGCATTGTTGCCACCTCGCCACGAATCGAAGCCGGTGTCCTCGCCAGCGGCATGCTCCGTCTGTTGTTGCTGCTGGTGTTCCTTAGGACCATTGCTCACTGCGACCGAAACGAATACATTTATTTCATATTCAAAGATATATATGTCACGATTAGACGCGCGCAATGTAAAAGACAACAGCCAAGATATTGTTCAAAATTTTAAATTATTAATTAATATCTCATCAGCACGAATGTTTCAAAATAAGCATAACGTAGTGTACCAAAATACTATAATAAAAGAATTGGAAAATTTACAACCTTTTATCGTTATCTTCATTCAAGCGACAAATTAACAAGAGCCAAGAGTGTCATGTAACTCTATAGTCGTAACTGTACAAGATAGAAAAGTTTTTATATATTAATAGAGTGAATTATTTCGTCGATTTTTCGCTATTTAAATTATTTTTATACAAGTTTCAACATTCCAACTCCAATTTTTTTTATTATATAAATGTAAGTTCTGGAGTCCTCGGTTATTACAAACTTTGCAATCAACATATATACACACAATGTCGTTTCTCCAAGTATCCAAACAATTAACATAGAATTCTTCGCTGCTCTTATTCAAGCGCTCGCTCCTTTTCGAAGAAGTCTAGATGTAAGTCAAGTAACGGCGAAGAAAAGTCAAGTTGTTACGACGTTAGGACGAGGTGGTTGGACTCACCTTGATTGCCGGTTTGTCCTTTCATCCGCTGCATGCCGTTGCATGGAAAAACATACAAAATTTAGAGAAGGGCCGACCCAGGACGAGACGTGACAGTAGTACGGGGGCGGGAGGGCAGGCACGAGAGGAGAGAGAAGGAGGTATGTATCGGTGTCTACCGCGGAGACAGAGCGGTAACGGTCACGGCACGGCGCGTCGCGTCGCGTCGCGTCACGTCAACACAACACACTGACCTGGTTCGAGACAGCGCCTGCCAATCCGCTTGACATAACCTGCGATTCGCGCGGCTGTGTCGTCGTCGTCGTCGTCGTCGTCAGCGGGGGCGGCGTCGAACAACGACGGCGGCGGCGGCGGCGGCGGCGGCGGCGCCCGTGTCGAGAGAGGACAAGAGAGAGAGAAAGAAAGAGAGAGAGAGAGAGATAGAACTAGATTGTGTTACAGGACAAAATATAGGCGGTCGGTCGGAAACTCCGTTGCTAAACACCGGTTGCTGGAATCGCGAATCGCGCGGTTACGTCCAGCGAACGGTCGCACGGTCGCCACCTCCACCTTGGTCTTCTCCTCTTCGCGGCGGCCTGTTAAGTTATGCCAACACTCGCGGCCAAAAGTCAAAACACGGCGTGTTCCGCACGGACGATTCGTCGCCGTTCGCGATTCCGCTCTATTCCACGCGATTGTTCCCGCTGTTCCTCCTTCGCGCGCGCGCGCGCGCCCCCGACGTGGTCGCCCGTCGGCACCCTGTGAGCACAGACCTGGGGAAAAAGAGCCTGAGACCGCGCACCAAATGTCCTCGGCCCGCTCGCGGCAATCGTCGAGGAACGATTACGGCCTGCCTACGTGACCCGCTGCGAGGGAGACGCTATCACGGGCCGTCGCGACAACGGCTCGCGAACTCGGATTCCACGGCTCGGAGCCTCGGAGCAAATAACTACGGTGACGTGCACTGACCTCCCGCATTCGCTCGCAGGTGCGCCAACCCGAATCGTTCAAACTTCAAACCAATGTCACTATAAGCTCCGCTCTTCTCCGTCGCATTCGTCGGAATCGGAAATCGGAGCAGTCCGCCGTCCACCGCCGTTCGAGCTCCGTGGCTTCGTGGTCGGAATCGTTGCAACGGACGTGCAGGGTACAGGATTTGCCACTGGCAACGAAAGCTTCTTCGTTCGTTCTATAATCGCGCTTCGAGTCTCTTTTCTTTACCTTTAGCCTTCCGAGGCCTCAACGGACACTTGTACCTGTCTTATGTCAAATCTTAAAAAAAAAAAGCTGAATGCAAAAAGTTGTAGCTTAAAAAATGAACAGATTTATATAAAACCGTATGTGACAACCTTTAGTATCGTAAATCTGTCATGGCTGCTCCTACATATAGGACGCGACAAAAGGCGACGCGGTAGCCAATAGATGTTTCGCTCTTATGGAAAAGTTGTAAGCTGATTGGCTATAGCGTCCTATGTGTCCTACGTGCAGGAGCCATTGGTCCAGGCTAAAAATACCAAGATATTCCGTCCCGCATGCGCGGAAAATCGCTATACAAATACCGAAAACCGATCGGAGTCGGAGGGTCGGAGTAAAACTAACCGAACGGAAAACAATTCTGTGTAAATTTCATTTCGTTGAGAGTTCATATATATACAAATATAATATATAATAAATAAAAATTATATTTCGCGAGATCAATGCATGTCTGTAATAATATATAATGTAATAACTTTATTGATTTTATTAATCGCAATATACGTTGGACAAGATTACAATTCCAAATACTATGGCCACAGAGAAAACGCAACTATATATCGTTAAAGTAAATCATCGATTCAGATAAGATGCTCAGATAAGCATAGATAATTTTCACGATATCGCATGCGACAAAAATAAATTGTTTCGTAAACACTTCATTAATACTGAGAAAGGAAACTAACAATAAGTTAGATCGATGCGCATTTCGACGAATATAACTCGTGCTACATTTCTACATTTATATTATATGAAAATTAATCCAATTTATTAGAGTTTCGCAAATTGCTGTATATACATTAACAATAACATATACATATATATATATTGTCAAACCTAATACAATACATACACGTTCTTTTAAAGCCAGATTTACTTTTAATGCAGCAAAGACAATCGATCGTCATTTTCAATGCATTTCGCGCGTCATCTGTCTATCTACTAGCGTTAGAAACTCACGCACACCTATCCTGTATTATATACGTCCTTCATCTCTATCTTGACAACTAATCTTACAAGACTGTGATAAAAAGACTTTGGTTATACTTTCTTACAGCAAGAATACAGGATTCTGGTTAAAAAACATTGCCTCTTCCAGCAAAACAAACACATCTCTGAAATATCTTTCTTTCCTTCCTCCCTCTTTTTCAATCGATAGCTCAGTTTCTGGTTAACCAGGAGAAGGTTTTCAAAATAAAATACGCTATAGTCGCAATATACAAGATCCTGTCTCTCTGCTGACGATGCAGCATGTCTAATTCGAGCGCCATCACTCTGCGATTCAATTTACCTACTTGACGACGTAAGTGTTGAACTTCTTCACTGGGTGGCAGAGATACATCGAGAGCATTGTAAGAGGGAGTTGGTTCTCTGCATAATAAGAATGCAAAAAGTAAAAAATGAAATATTCAACAAAATTTCTTTAAAATATGTAAAAGTTTTATACCTGACATGTTTCACTATCTGCGTTTCTGTATTGTATGTCCTGGGTCTGACATTCACCGGATTTACAATTTCGTCGACATGTGACAGAAGCTCTTCTTCATCCACCGCTGGGAAGTAATGATTGTCCAGAGTCAAAATTCTTGGAGGAGTCTGTCGATGAAAGTAAACATTTAATAACAAATATTGTCATTTCACAGTTCCCTCGATACATTACATTAGTACATTACCTGTACTCTGACTATAGCAGGCTCGGTACGCATAACAGCATTTTCTAAAACAATTTCTGGTGGTGGCGCCTTGGTACCAACATGCTGTTCTTGTCCTGTAATAATAATTTTTAGATTATTACAAAATATTGTTACAAAAAAAAAAAAATACATTGAAATTGTATATTCTTGTAATATAAAAATATATAATAGATACAATCATTTAAGATAGAATCTTACCGACGACAAGAATCCTTTCTGGCACATGCATTTCAAGCTTCTCCGTACCAGACATCTGATTCCACGTCGTATTTGTAACGGCACTATCTTGCTCTCCGTAATCCCCGTTTACGCGAATGCTTTTAGGGACTCGCATCTGCTTATTAATATCCACACTAAAGTCTGGATAATAAATACTGTCTACTTCTCCATTAAAATGTGTTGGACTGTGCGTCTTCGACATTATAACTGAAAATATATTTTTATTATATAAAAATGACTGCTACATATAGACTAAAGTACTATAACATTGCAAAGATGTTTTGTCACTTGTATAAAAAAACGTTTGTATCACGAATATTCAACAAAATGCGAATATACATCTAAATCTCAATTTTTATGCAATTGACCGATAAAAAATGTGCAAACTATGAAATGTACCAATGTAAGAGCATCAATGACTTTCATCAATATTGATATGATGACACCTACTTTCAATGAGCAAAAGAATAGTGCTTTACAGAGGTCATTTAATTATAACAAAATAGACATATTTTTTTTATCGATGATAATAACATAGAGACACAATCGACACGAGATGCAGAAATTAGTTTTTCATGTATTTCTTTTTCTTCTCTTTTTTATCACTCACTCATCCATGATGAATGTTAGTTGTATGGTTATACGAATCATTCTCGAATTTCGAAGTTCTCTTCGATTAGAAACTTTATCGTCGATAAAAAGACAATCACGAATTAATGCAGGATCTTAAACGATGAACTCAAGACTGATCAGAAGTATCACTACGCGAATATTCCAAAGTAAGAGAATATTTACCCTCTCGCGTCTCGCTGTCCGTTAAACATAAAACCACCGCTCCGAAGTTCGTTACGAGATCAGTTTGACGGATTGAAATTCAAGCATGAAATATAATCACAGTACAATATAGTCAGGCAACTCTCTGTCGGTGACTTGATGAAATTTAACGTGTAACGCGCGTGCGCGAAAAGAAAAAAGCGTCATTTAAACATCAAAGATATCTCAACTTCTATTCAAAAAAATAATTAATAATGTAGTACAAGTTGAAAAGCTTATTCAAGGAATAAATTATTCGTACAATAAAAAGAAACCAATATATGTTTTCTTTCTTTCAACAATATGCCGTTTATTATACTCAATTTGTACAAGATGTTTTAAACCAAATTCTTCTTATATATATAAAGTTGTAATACTAATTTGTATATATTCATAACAAAATGTGATTTTTTTTTAATATCTTGTAAATTGATGATTAATTGGATATAATCGATGTTATTTAATCATTACATTATTGGTTGACAAATTCATCTGCAAAAATCGAAATTCACACATACATAAACTAATTATTGTATTTTAGTTTGAAGCTAAATTTTATCCAGAAAGAAGCTCTTTAGAATTGTTAGATATATAATTGTTGCACAAATAACAATATCGTTATATTTAGCGAAAATATATAGGAACAATAGTAATTAGAAAATCACTAAAGATAAAATTAATTTCGTGTAATATTGGCACACAATACAATAATAACAAGATAATAACAAATATATAAACAATAAATAACAATATAATAGTAAAGAAAATTAAATATAGATTTTACATTATTTCAATTCACAACTAGAGATAGACTTGATCACAATTGCCATAATCATCAGGTAAATGATATTGCTGCAGATGCAAAAAAAAATTAAGTTTGGGAGATTTATATTGAAAGTATTCGCTAATTCGATCTATTGTAATTACTTTTAAAATTATGATATTATGAGAAAAGAAAAATCATAAATAATCAATTCTTGTGCAAAATAAATCATTAGAATAAAGAAATATGAATGATGGTGTGCTGATCACGCGAATGAAGACATACACTGTTACTAAGGTTTTTCTTCCATTATAAGAATTATTTATAATACAAGAAAAACATTTGTGTAACTTTTCAGTTTTGAGATAATCTAACATAACTGTGGTAATAACTCTGAAACTTTTAAGATAGATACTTCAATACATGAAAAATACTTATCTTTCATATATATCAGTTTGTTTCATAATATCTATTTTATAAGCTGTTATTCAACTATGTAATATCACATCTAAATACTTGAAAAGCATTCTGCATTTTTTTGAAACTTGAATAAATTAGCAATATCTTAATTATGGTTCAGTTTGTACCGGTACAATTACACCAATGTGTAATGCACATTATGAATTAATTTAACAGTTTGTAATAAATCTGTTTCTTGACAAAGGCCAGCTTTTCCTGTGATAATTGATAATTATCAATTTGCATAGTAAGAATGTAAATAGCCCCTCCAGTTGAAGGATTTATTCTATCGCACAAATTATATAATGCCACTATTGCTTTTGTATTAATATTCAAAATATCGCGAATTATCTGAAACAAATATTTATTTGTTATAAGTTAAATGGCATATGCAGAATTTACATTCAAAATATACTTACTCACCACAACCTTTTTTGCTGGGAACCATTCTTACAATATGTTAATGATCTCACCAGCATTGCCTCCAAAATTTTCTGCATTCAAGCACAGGGGATTAGCATTTAAAGCATTACTGCTTGCATATGCCAGTGCTATGGCTAGAGAATCCATTGTAGTTGTTTCATTTGAAAATAATAAAATGATCAAAGGTATCTTTCTACTTGCTCTCGACATCACTTTGTTTATTGCGTATGAAACATTATTCCAAATATCTGACTCTTGATTATAATATACAGCTTTAATATTCTCAACAAATTTAAATAATACTGAGGTATGACTATTTATGGGTTGCATAGTATTTTTTTCCATTACATATAAAATTATTCCTATAATTACACTGCAAATGATAATTACTGCTAATATATTAACAATAAGAGATATCAATGAACAGAAAAATCTTTTTTTTTCTTGTTCCAACTTAGATGACTGACAATGAGAACTTTTTCTCAATTCTGTTTTTGCAAGAGTTGTTAATTTTATGGATCTTTGATGTTTAGATACAGATGGTGTATATAGCACAGATATAGTATAGATCTGAAAAATGACAATGTAATTTATCTATTTTACAAGCAGACCTAGTTATACAATCCTAATCCAGCAATCAATATATCAGTATTAGTCAAATATATCAATATATCAATAATCAAACGTAAATCAAACATAATCTAATCTTATAGTATCAAATATACACCTTAGCCAGAATTTGCTTATTAATTACAGTACTGTTATCAGGATAAACATATTGTAAAGATAAACGTCGCATGTATGATTCGAGTGGTGTACGACGTTTCGGTCGATACCTAAAGTTGACGAAATCATTTCTGTAAATGATAAGTATAATTAAAAAAGCAATTAATTAACAAAATGTAGTGAATAATGCACGAAAGAGAGAAACTCAAAGGATTATATACAAATATATATATAATCTATACGAGCAATGTAAAGTTCTGTGACGATCGAAGTTTTCTCCTCCGCATTTTTTTTTCATTTTTAATGCTGAATAACGTTATCGTTGTTTCTAACAAAATAAAAATACCTCGGAAGAAGAACCTTATTGCTATCCATTCTACACCGTTCCGGCCAATTCCAAGAACCGGTGAGATATTCTATCCCTTTTTTTTCTCTTATCGTCACGCAAAAATAAACGTAACATATCATCAGCGACAATTCCGCGAACTTTCAAATCCCGGTTACAAGTCATAAATCAAAATCTTGAAGATTACGAGACGCATTCAGAAATCCTACCCATGGGGTAAAAAAGTAACGTTTAATTGACTAATCAGAATAAAGAAATCTTTGATCCTTTTCTTCCGATTGGTCAATTAAATACTGCTCTACACAGATAGAATTTTCGAACATATCTATGCGCGAACGTCTTCTACGCTAGGGACTAACCGCTAAGGATTTTCAAGAGTGACAGATATACGTAAGGGCTATCCTTAGAACATATATAAATGGAAGGGGAATGCCTTTGTTTGCCGATAGAAAAACATGTCGGAAGGAAGTGAGAAAGAAAATCATAGTTGCCTCTCTCTTGTGAGTTACTCTGCTCAAAAGTGCGCATGCGCGGCCATGTGTGTGTACACAAAAGTATGTATACTACAGACACGATGCTTGTGTGTGTAGTTACTCACAAGAGAGAGGCAACTACGATTTCTTTCTCACTTCCTTCCGACATTTTTCAGCCTGCTATTCCCCTTCCATTTATATATGTTCTAAGGGGCTATCACGCACAAATTGACATAAGCTGCGATCTGGAAGACGTTTTAAATATTTCGAAGCATTGCATTAACCAATCAGGATAAAGAAATTTTTAATATTTTTATCCTGATTGGTCAATCAAACATTTCGAAGCATCTCTAGCGTTTTTCTGACCGCAGCTCAAGTCATATCGAACCTCGAACCGCGAAATATCGCGGTTGATACATCACGAGATTTATCTCCCGCCAAAAGCACTCATCAAACTATCGCAACGTGAAATGGCATTTGCGTGTTTCTGTTGACAAACGTGGTTTGCATGGATTTGCAGCAATAATAATGGACGATTCGCAGCGTAAGTAATTTACCGATCATTACGCGAAATTGTAATACAATTCTGTGACCATATATTTATAACAGGTTATTGTATATTTGTAAACACTACTGCACATTTTCTACCTATCTTTTGTTTATATTTAGTATACGCATAATTGATAATTCAATAAACATTGATTTATATACGATTGTTAACAAAATTAATCATATAGAATGAATAGTAGGATAAATTGCATCATATTATTTATAAATACTTTTAAATAGTATTGCACATTTTTATTCTTTGCTAAACAATGTTTTAGCATCTGTGTCTGGCAGGGCCAGGCGTCAGAAGATTGATAAGACTGGCAGACTCTCAGCTTTGGAAAGATTGAAGGAGAGTCGAAGCAGTGGAAAACGCAAGTATGAGGCTGAAGAGATAGAAAATATATATGATATAGTGGATGAGAAAGAATACAGCAGTACTGTTCTGAAACGTCAGCGGGACGATTGGATAGTCGACGATGGTATAACATTTTTTCATATTTTATAGAGAAAATATAAAATGTTTATAAGTAAAGCAGAGGTTATATTAAACAGAGATTTGTTTGGAAAACATCTTGAAAAAAATAATTTTAATCTGTGGTGCATAGAAATTAAAGTATTCAAGCATTGAATTTTAATTAAAATTTAATTGTAGGAGAAAGTGGATACATTGAAGATGGAAGGGAGATTTTTGACGATGATCTGGATGAAGATAGTATTCAAGAAGCGAAAAAACAGAGACATAATATGGCAGGTCCTAGAAAGAAAAGAAAGGAAGAAACTGGGAAAAAAGGAGATATTCAAAGTATGATTAGAAATATGCCTTCTAAGAGAGACATTGACACAGTGACTAAAGATGATGATATTTTGGGAGAGTTACTTAGTGAAATCTCTGCAAGTAAGAAGACAACAAATAGTCCTAAACCAGCAAGCAATAATAAAAATAAATTTTGTCATACAGTTCATTCGGATATTACGTAAGTTGATAGATTGTATTTTCATTGTATATATATTATATTATGTTATTATTAGTTTACAGAATTTTTAACTTTGAATGGTAAATTGATTGCAGGCCAAATTATCAGTTTTTATCCATAAACCAAGAAATGGATGATAAGAGGACATCTGAAAAGCCAGAAGAGCAAAACTTGATGGAACCAGCGGAATCTAATAATATTGCACAAAGTGCAAGTCAAATAATTGAGGATATAGATGACACTGTGATATTTGATGCACCACAAAAAAAGAGTGTGAATAAATCAGCAGAGTCGAATAATTGTTTGAAAGA